GAGACATGGGGAAAATGGAAGTCATGTCGCCAGATCACCTCGAGCTCTTGCGGAGCTCCGCCTTTGAATCAGAACACGCCCAGCTTTACGACTCGTCGTACATGCAGCATGAGGCTGCCGCGCTGGCCCTGGAGAGCGACATTGAGAACTCGCTTGCCAGCATCTCACCAGATGGGAACTCGGACGAACACAGGCGGATTGCCCGCACGCAAATCTTCATCCACAGGGAGCGACAGAAGGCACTGCGGCCGCATCTGGAGAGCGGGAGTGGTGTTGAGGATGGAGAGGGTCGCGAGTGTGTGTTTGTTCCCGCGCCAATGCATTGGGGAGCTAATGGAGACTTGGATGAGGAGAGTGGTAGCTTGTCTTCTGTAAGTACCTTCTCTCGCTCAAATCAAGCAATTCAATTTTAATTTTCTGGTGGTTCATTGTATTTTCTGCTTTCGCTGCTCTGAGCTGGGACTAATGATGCTCCTAGGTCCACAACCTCCTCACGTGGCAAGCCTCCTACTCTCCGCTCTCCTATACCCCCATGTACGACGAACTCCCCTCCCCGGATATCCCCTACTACTCCATGCTGGACCCAACGCAGCCACCAATCACCTACCACCTCCACCGAACGCGCGAATGGACAACCTCCGGTTGCCGGAAATACATCTACAGCGCGCGCGAATACTCAGACAAGTACTCCCTCTACATGCTAGAAACCTCACACCGCGGCGACAACCAAGTCAATGCGGCGGAATTCTACCGCGTTGCCGAGTTCCCCACACCCTGCATCTCAATCATACTATCTGGCATCGACAAACGTGACAGCAACGCCGCCTACAAATCCCGCTGCATCCATCTCCGCGGCCCGTTCGCCACACCCATAAAAGAATACCCGGACCGACAGCAAAAAATCCCATGGTCCCCCCGACGATTCACTTACGGCGGGAGGCGCTTCGTCTGGAAACCGGGCGACCCGCACGACGATGTGATGCCAGAGACGCTATACGAGTTCCAGAACGATTGGGCGAAGCCGGGAAGTCGGACGGGGAAGCGGCTGGACGATGCGAAAGAGCGACCTTTAGTGTGGGGGGAAAAGAAGAGGAAGGGGAAGGTGGAGAGTTATACGATTCATTTTGCAGGCGGGGTAGATCAGGTGTTTAGGGAGATGTTATTGGCGAGTCAGATGGTGAGGCAAGTGTGTCTTTTTACGGCCATGGAGTGAAAACACTTTCCCTTCTTCCCCGTGAAGTTTTGAGGGGGTTCAAGGGGATTATCGCTGAGCAAGCGATGGATTATGAACGGCTATGCAAACTTGGGCATCGGATCAGTCACAGGACTTTGGGCATGGATACCAGGCGTTATGGTGCAGTACCGGGCAAATTGTACGGAGTAAGCAAGGCATCTCGGAATCTGGGGGCTATTTTCGAGAACGCGCTTTTTCGACTTTCTCCGTGGGTTGAAGGCTATTATTTTCATGGGCACGGAATCATTACACTCTGCTATTTCACAGAGCTCGCACGTAGAGAGACATAAAGCCAGCTAGCTACGCTCCCCATTTAACAGAATCAATAAAAAGAAGATACCAAACACACCAATCAAACAAGCCCATAGAATTGAACACAAACAGATCAGGTCACTCTCCAACTGCCTCCCACGCACTCAACGGATCCGCCCAAATCTCCCAATGCCCAAACCTCCCTTCAGCATCGAAATCAGAAAACCGATATATGAACTGCTCATGCCACCGCTTCCCAGTCTTCACACTACTGAACTCTGCACTCCCGACTACACTCACCAAGCCCGTCCCTCCACCCGCCTCCGCATCCACGATAAACCCATCCGCAGGAGGAAATGTATCCGCATGCATATGCATGTCCAACGTCTGTGCTAGAACAGTGAAGTAATTGATACAGCCGTCTTTCCCCTCAAACGTCTTCCCTAGAAACGGAAGCCGTGACGAAGCCCATGTAGGCCCGTGTTCTGTGATATGCGGCGGAGTAGTAGCAGAGAAATAGGCATCCAGCAGCTGTGATGGTGGAGGTGGCGACAGTAGTGCAGTGCAGAAGTTTTGCGTTCTGTTTCGCAGCAGGGTGCTGCGGGTGGCGTTGGGTGTCATGTTGACTGACCTGTTGTACCCCTGCGACTGCGACGATGCGGTGTGGGTGATGGGTGCCAGGCGGGCGTATGCGGCGGCTGTGTGCGTGTAAGGGTGTAAGTGGTCGGGTTCAATAAGGGCTGGAGGGGGCGTCGATTAGAGATGTGAGTGAGATTTGAGTAAGAATTTAGGGCTGGAGGGAGGGGTTGTGTGCAATGATGATCGTGGTCCCTTTTCACAGGTGACAGCTAATTCTCCTAGAGGGATTGGAGAAGCGTGATTATTGATCGGAGGTGGTCAATTGGATGACTGTAACTGCTTAATTGGGGCTTTACTACTAGTCAGGAGATGGCATGAGAGATTGAGGCATCACGGAACTTTGGCCAGAATTTTGGTGAGGGCGAAGCTGATGATTAAAGAGTGATTACGTCAGTGGCGGATTACCCGTTTTTCTCGCTTGACGCACGGCCTCACCTGGCGCACGGATTTCAGCCAATATCCTCACATAGATTTAAAGCTCTAGAGCTCACTATAATTTAAATTATCACAAGATTTTGTAGAGTAACAGGCAATAGGGTACAGCAAATAAAACTACGTTATTATCTAGTCGCAATACCTAGTAGGAAGGCTGATCTGTTGCCCTCAGCGATTTGTTAGCTGGGGGGCAGCGATAACCTCTACAACTAATTCCTTATTACCACTATTATCCTAAGGACTAAGAGAATGCTGTTTGCTCCTTTTTTTAGCCTGTTTAGCATATTAGATGTCCTTTTAGAGCTGCGCAGCTACTAATCTAGCTTGCTTGTTGTCCTCCTTCTCCTGCTGCTTCTAAGCCTGCTCTTAGAGTTAGATTTCCTTTGCAGTAGCCTTTATGCGCTGTCTCTCCTCTATAACCTGCTCCTTCTCTGCTTTCTTTACAGCTTTGCGCTTAGCATCTTTTTTTTTTTAAGTCTCTCTACTTTTACTGCTTTTACTTTTTTTATTTTTTACTTATAAGCTTACTAGACTTTGTTTAGGCTCTAAAAAATTACTTTACTATTTAAATTAAAAGAAAGTTTAAGCTAAAAAGCTTTACCCCTTTACTAATACTTTTTTTTATTAACTAGTGCTTTTTTAAGGCTGTAAACCTCTAGTTTTAAGAGGATATTCTATATAGATAGTAAGTAGATTGTTTGTAAAAGCTGCTAAGCCTTAGAGTTATATATATTATTAACAACTAATCTTAAAAGCTTAGTAATTTTCCTCTAATCTTTAGCTATAAGCACTAACTTTAAGCTCTTACTAGAGAAAGGTCTCTTAGCTTTAGAGTTATTAAATTAGTCTAAAATAATATTAGGCTTAAAGAGATAAAGACTATAGGTTTTAAACTCTAAAAGAACATTCTTAGCAGTAAAAGCTCTCTTCTATGCTGCCTAGAACATGCAGAAGAAATTTCTCTTAGTAATAGCAAAGAAAGCTTAAGATTCTTCTATAAACTATACTATTTTATAAGTATAAGCTTATAAAAAAGGCCTAAACAAGTAAATATTAAGTAGCTAAAGTATATAAGTACTATAAAAAAAATAAATAGCTAAAAGAATCTTATTATTATTATAGTACTTAATAAACTTTATATTTATATAAGATCTATGTCTATTAAGAATAAAAAGTTAGTATCTTTACTACACCTTTAGTTTTATCTTTTTATTAAAGATTATCTTAAGCTATTAAAGCTTAAAGTTATTATTAGTCTATTTACTTAAAAATAAAGTAAAAAAAGCTTTATATATCTTAGAATTAAAGTCTTAAAGCTATAAGTCTTAAATGTTACCTATAACTACCTAGTAAATAAGGCCTAGAGAAAGAGAGAATCTATTAGTGTATATATAAGTAATTATTGTTATCTACTTGCAGTTACTGTTCTAAACTATCTGCTTAATCCTACTCTCTTTATACTTTTACTAGGAGAAGATCTGCTTTATCTTTAAGAGCACTTTAATTAAGAAGCTTTTTTTATCTATATTATACATGTCTTTTAGCTAGATATTGTATTGTTTAATCTTATACTTTAGAAGATTAAAATATAGTGCATATTTAAAGGCAGAATTAGCTCTCTTTTTTTTTTTATTAATGCTAGTAGTCTACTTTAATACTAGGTTAACTTAGTAACACTTAAGAAACTAGTTTAGCTATAAGCTCCCTACCTATTTACTGCTTATTTTAGTAGTAAAGTTGCGTAGCATGTTTCTTATAAAGGGTAGCCCTTACTTACATAGTCTTTTAATGTATTCTAAGAGCTCCCTCTTCTAACAGTTGTTTAAAAGTTGTTAATTCTTATATTACTCTGCACAGGAGCCTTAGACCCTGCGCTACCTTTGTAACAGTGTTTATTGTTTAACACTATATTTTTTTGCAACTTAAGTAATATTAACTTTTTCTCTAAACTCTAGGGATTCTAACGCTGCAAGCGCTTCTAAAATTAGGTCCATATTAGTGGAGTTAGTATTATGTGACAATTTTAGTGTTCCTGAGCAAAGTGTGCGCCAGGTGAGCCCGTGCGTCAAGCGAGAAAAACGGGTATGTAATATCGTGATTGCGCGCCCCTCTCCAAACTTTGACTCGTACTCTGAGTAGGGTTATGCATTGAGTAGACAACTCGCGAATACACGGCCTAGAAATCTTAGGATAGAACTCCTGTTTTACTATCGATTTTCGCAAGATGCCCCGCTCTTGAGGACTCACATCTATGACGCTCGACTTCTCACCTAACTAATTTGGACCGTGGTGCAGATGGACAAACACTATCCCTCGCATTAACCTTAAGGCCCCGTTGGCTAGATACATAAATCATGTTTTTTTCTCCTACGAAGCTGCGATCTCGAAGATCCTCAAGGAAAGGCCCCCGATTATTACATCACCCATTGCCAAACAACCTCGGGAGCCAACTCATCAATTCTCTCTATCCCCAACACCTATGCAAGGCGTTCTTCCTAGCCAGTTGCCTATCATACTATTCTCACCCATCAACCAATCATCTTTCCAAAGCACACCCTCGGAAAGCCTCATCAACTGAGGCATTCCAAAACGGCCCCCAAAAAAGTGACCTCCAAGCGACCTCATCAATCTCACACGCAACAATCTCTATCTGCCCTCTCCTCTCATCCACGCGCGCACAGAACAGAACCAACAATCTCAGTCTCACAAGAGGTCAGGTCAGGCCCAGAGCCATTTTCTTACTCACATACCCAGTTGTACCTCCGCCTTGCTCGTCCGCCCTCTCGCGTGCCTGCTTGCAGCGGCAGGATATATGCAACGCAGCCAGCCTAGCTGGTCCCCGCGAAATTCTCCGTCAGACCGGTCGGCTTCGGAAATGCCGATTTGGGACGGACGAATACTCGCGAGTGGGTGCGACGATCAGCAAGCTCCCAGTCCCAACAGTTTGGATTTGATAACGGCATGGATAGCCAGAGGATTGTGGTTGCAGCGCCACGAGGGAACTAATGTCCAGGGGCGATCTTTTGCTGGTAAGGGGTTAGAGAGGTGTGTGCTGTAGATTGAGGCCACGAGAACAGGCATGCAGGTGTAGACTGGGGAGCAGCGAATTAGAGGGGGCTCGGGGGTTTGGAGGGGTTGGAGCGAAGGTGTGGGATGGTAAGCTTAAGATTGCACTTTATGCGCTTAGGCGAATGATGGGGCTTAGGATTTGGGATATCAAGTTCAAGGTTTCTTGGTATTTCTTGGTACGGATGCTCTGCCAGAATGAGCGTCTTACGGCGCAAGTAAGTTCGGGTCTCGAGGTCTGATGACAGCATGCATCTAGGCCGGTAGTTCCATCAAACATCTCCTACTCCCGTCCGTCGGTGCCGACACGCATGGATAATTTCCTGTCGCCAAGCCTCCTCCCGCGGCTGAGCCCTACGTCCATGTTCTCCTCTCACCAATCTATCGGCGACTCCCTTCAGTTCGTATAATTCTATCAGAAACCCGCTTTACGCGGAAGGAGTCGCCCAATGCCCCCACACTCGTATTCCATATCCGCGTCGGAATTTCAAAGTAGAGATGCATCTCCTCCGTGAGGACTCCGTGAGGACTCCGTGAGGATGTTTCACTGTCTGGCAGCAGATCTTCAAAGCTTAGGACTAAAACAGCATAGAAGGAGGAAGAGAGAAAGGCTCTCTTGCAAAGCGCAACACGCTATAGTAAAGGTATTCCATTTTTGGGGGCTGGTAGATTCCACCTAGTATTTTAGACCAGCAACTTTCCTCTCCCGCGTGAAAAACTACGCATTGTTTCTAAAAACTCCGACAACGAGGTTGAAGAGAAGGTGAATTAGGAGCAGAAAGATTGAAAGGGAGGTTATATACACAGAGTCACCGAGCCCTAACATCCTTGCGTATTGGTTGTTGCGGCGAGTGTGCTCTTCGCTCAATACACTTCTCACGTGCCACATTCTCACGCGCTACACTCCCACGCTGGGGTTCTCTCAATCCATCTATCACTCCCTATCAACTAACTCTTTTCATAATAAAACTACCATCGGTCTTTTCATCTTACCTCCTCTTCTTGATCCGAAACCCACCTTCCGCCCACACCTCGTTGAATTCTCAATCAAGAAATCCCCGCCCATAGCGCACATGAGACATTTCACACTCATTTTTCAACCCCAGTCCCATCACACACCCCAGCCTCATTCCACTTCTTATATCAAGCAAGTGGTGTGCTGTTTTAGCACACCGTCGATGTATCTAACTCTCGCTCTTGAGAAAGAGTGTGCGTGTGTGTGAGAAAGAGATAGACATGGTAACTAACCCGTCTATCTGTATTCCAAACCACTCCAGAAGCAAGGACACACCACAATTGTATGATAGATTTTCTCCGCCCGAGCCGACATGCGCCACCATGAACCTTGGTTTTTGGCTACTGAGGAGGGGTGGGGGACATTCCTATCTAGATTGCGCTTTCCCAGTATAACACAGGACAGGTGACGACGGGAGTTAAAAGCGACCTGGAGGGTAGAGTGAAGCCAAAGTGCGTTTGCGAAGCCGCGTGAAATATTGTTTTATATACCTCAAACCGCAATCCCCAGCCTGCGGGCCGAGTCCGGAGCCTACGAGATCGCAGCCATCACCCAATACCCTACCCGTACCACGCTTTTAGACTGCAAGTTACTTGACTAGCCAGCCAGTCGCGAGTCCCATTCAGTAATCGTCGAACCTTAGAAGTGTGTATAAACCCTACCTGCAATCGCTCAAAGTTCACTTTCTCACACTGCGTTTTGCTTTCGGAATGAACCCTCCTAGGAGGAGCAACGCGTGGTCTCTTGGCATCTTAAAACGTGGTTGAGTGACTTAAATGTCTCGCTTTTTGCTTGGGAAACAAGCCGCAATACACCTCAAATGGTGTCGTGAATGTGAGAGGTGAAAGTATGCGATGTGTGAAGACTAGAAGACAATTATGTGGACTTGATGATGGGAAAGATGAAGAGCTGGGACAAGTGATTCCTGAACTCTGAAGGAAGAGCGTCGCGAAAGACGACTTAGAAGAACTATTCGGAAAGCGGCGGACATACGGTAGCAAAGGACTAAGGGTGGAATCGAGAGCACAGTGGGAATTTACGCCGAGACTTCATTCAAGACTCCTCAGATCCATCGACGTGGAGACGTGTGAAGAAGTATCTCCTATTACTCCACTTCTACAGCTACCTCCCTATCTATAAATCTAAATCCTCGCCCCCATCTCTCTCCTCGCCATCTCCCTTAACTCCTTCTTCAAAATTTTCCCACTCGCATTCTTTGGAATCGCCTCTAAAAATATCACCCCACCATCTAACTGCTTATATCCTGCCAACTTCTCCCTCATATACAAGTTCACGTCTTTTTCCATCAAAGCACTCCCCTTCTTCCGCACCAAATACGCTCTTGGGACCTCACTTCCTGACCTACCAGCATCTCCTATTCTTCCAGCGCCCTCACTGCCAGTTTGAGTATCTGCACTCTCCCCACTCCCATCTCCACCAGCCGGCACCCCCAAAACTGCCGCATCCGCAATATCCGGATGCATTAGCAGAACACCCTCAAGTTCCGCCGGCGCAACCTGAAATCCCCTAACTTTAATCAACTCCTTCTTCCGATCAACAATATACCACAACCCATTCTCCCTTCTCCTAACCGCAATATCACCGGTATGAAAATAGCCCTCTTGGTCCCAACTCTCCCGATTCGCCGCCTCATTTTCAAAATACCCTTTCACGATCAACGGCCCCCTTACGCACAGCTCTCCGGGGATATCATACCCAGAAACATCCCGCCCAAAGTCATCTACGAGTTTAGCGTCGAGGTTAGGTAGGAAGCGGCCGACGGAGCCGGTGGGGTCGTGCTCAGGGTAATGGATCATGGTAGCGATGCAAGAAGTTTCGCTCATGCCCCAGACTTGGTTGAAGGGGGCGGAGGAGCGGAGGAGAGCTTTGAAGCGGGCCTGGGGCGAGGGGGCGAGGGGGGCAGCGCCAACCCAGGCGTACCGGATGGAGTGCAGGGAGTAGGCTTTTGTGAGGGGGGAGTTGATGATTTGAATTACCATTGGGGGAACCTGACAATGTTAGGAGATTTTGGGATTGGGCACTTTTTTTTTAGGGGGTGGGGATAGAGGGATTGGGAAGGGGCTTACTAGGTTTCCTTCGGTGATTTGAAAGCGTTCAACGTTGCGGAGCCATGACTCGAGGTCAAATCGCTTCATTATGAATGTTTTCATGCCACCGCGCAGAGGGGAAGTGTGAGCGCGTGGAACATTCGAGACGTGAAACATTGGCGTACACAATAGCCTCACAACCTGTAGTAATCATCAATTATCAGTCAACTTACGCAGGCTAGACGTCATCCCATGCAGTTTCGAAGCCCAAATAGGAACGAACAGAACTAGACTCACATCATAATCCCTTTCCTTATACTCCAAAACCATAGTATGCTGCGCCACAAAATTATAATGGCTCATATCCACCGCCTTAGGCAACCCGGTCGTCCCACTACTAAACAGCCTCGCTGCAGTCTTCCTCTTACTCCTCTCTTCGTCATCCCACCTCTCCCAATCACACTCCCCACACTCCATCAAACTCCTCCAACTTCTCAACCCACCCCATTTCTCCTCACTTCCCAGCTCCTCAACCCATCTACTCGAGCAGTTAGAGGACGTGGAGAGAGGCGTGTGGTGGTCGAAGACGAAAATCCGGGACGCCGGGATGTTGCATTCTTTCGCGGCTTTGAGGGCGTTGGGGAGGAGGTCGGGTTCGACGAGTAGGGCGCGGACGGCGGCGGTTTTAAAGGCGTGAGTGAGTTCGTAGGTGGTATGGGAAGGGTTGGAACCGGCAAATATGCCGCCGAAGGAGATTATTCCCAGGAAGGCCATGGAGTAGTAGATCTGGGCGGATGTTTAGGGAATGTGGAAGGAGCAATAAGGTTATGTGACTATGAGAGGGGTTTAAATTATGGGGAAGTTGAAAAGTACACGGAGTGAACTAGAAGCGAGTTCTTCAAAGAGTTAGAAAAGAGTGAGACCGACATCATTGAACGACAACATGCAAACACAATCATCCTCCTTTAGCCCAATAGTCTTAAAACCTGCACACAACTTCCTCACCGTCGATCTTGCCTGTCGTGAACATATTGTACGAGATGGATCTGCGGCGTCGATGTATATCTAACCACCAATATCAGCGTGTCGGTTCAAGGCAATCAAGCAACGAAAGGTCAAACAAGTATGCCTCACAGGCTTATCCTGATCATACGTCTGCCCATCAAACATCCAAGACAATAAGTCCTTATTTGGAATAGCAATATGCTCTTCCGCGAGAAACGGCATTATCACCGGCTGTGGCTTGCAACAGTACCTAAGCAGGCTCAAGCCAAGGGGCTAGAACTGGAATTTGGGGTGTGGATTGAGGAGTACATACCGAGCAGCCTCTCCATGTGAACGAAGAAGTAGCCGTAGAGGCTCAAGCGAGTCGAGGATATTCTGTCAGTGACGGCTCTCTATGCACGTTTCCGAGCTCGGAGAGGCTCGAGATCCGAGGCATGGCGGTGCGGGGCAATTCATTGAGGCGACGTGAACTAACAGCTAACCCACCCCTCACTCAACCTAACCCAATCCAATCTCCGATAGCTCCGCTGCACACAAGTTTCCATCAGCATGTCTCATCACCATCCATATCCTCATCCATCCCCACCACCCCCCTAATCCAATCCAACTCAATCAGCCTATTTACCCCCTCCCAATAACCTCCCCTTGCAACAAGACCGGCTTCTCACTACTAAAATTCTCGACATCTCCCATAACCTTCGCAGTGCCCTCATCCTTCAACGCCTCTGCAAAAGCCTCTTGACTCTCCCACTCCATCAAGGCGTGCACACTGTAAGGCGCATCTACAGAGAGTTGAGTGACGCTCCATGATTTGAGGCCGTATTTAGTCCAGGTGTCGGCGACTAGTGGCATGTGGGTGGAGAGGTAGTAGGAGATATCGAAGGTGCTGCTGGCGGTTTTGGGGTAGAGGACTGAGACTGTGGCGCCTTTCGACATCTTTGGGGGCAGAATTGGGTGCTGGTGAGGGGGAGCAAGTGAACGGGTGGTCTTATGATTGGAGGTGAGGGACGTACGAATGAGGTTTGGGAAGGTAGGCGGTTTAATGTTGTGAGTTTGAGCTTGAGCCTGAACCTCGAGATGGACTGGGAAGACGTGCTATTTAAACAAAAGCCATCGAATATCGTACCAGGGTGTAATCTGCCTTCATGCTTCACCCCGCTATTTCGCGTGAAGGTTGAGATGCCTCATTTGCTGAAGTAGGAGAGAGGCCTTCCCTATGCTAGCGGATCTGGGAAACATGACATTCCAAATAGGAATGCGCTAAGCACTCATAGGCTGTGGAGAGTGGAGTATGCAAGCCACCTAAGCTACCTGACTTGTGAAGGTTCTTGCGATCGCGCTGATAATGTTAAGCGTGCTGTAATTCCTACTATCGCAAGGTTTATGAGATAAGCTTTCTCTTGCCTTCACCCTCGGCACCTCTCCTTTATCGTCTCGCTGGATAGACAGCTCTCTCGACATGCCTCTTGGCTGTTTCAAGCAGTCTTTGCCCCGCTGAACCACAATTTCAAGCAAGACACGAGACATTTACTAGACAACGTGGGGGTCTAAAGCACTCAACAGTCAATCGTGCTTTTCACATTTTCTTTTATTCCCATTCTGGAGCAAGACGAATGATAGATCGAAGAGATCGGGTTCTCGAGAAAGTATTTACATGCCCTTCATCACTTGATCATACTCCAACTCCCATCCACTTTCGTCCTCAAACACCCTAATCCCTCAAACCATTGGAGAACAAACTCAATCATGGACATAGTAGAGTACTTTTATAGAAATTTCCATCATAACCCGCACGGACAGACAATCGAGCAAGGAAACCAACCTCCCCAATTCCAAACACCATCATCACGAAAGCCCTTCCACAATTTCCAGTGTTGAGTGGTCCGAGCATATTCACCATTTGCTTGACTTCTATTTATTTTTCCAGTGAGCAGGACATTGTGGTACTCTCTCTCAGTGCTGGCGGGAATCGGTCCGAATCGATTATCCGGAATCACGTGGCGCTATCCTGGATCTGGATCAGATCCATGAATCAATCCAGCGCTAAGGCTAAATAGGCAACTATTTTAAATAATTAGTCTTTTACTTAATTTTTTATGCTATTATACTCTTAATAAGTTATATAATAAACATTTAATAAAAATTTAGCTTAAGATAATAAAATTCTATTTATAATAAAAGTAGTTAATAGCTTAAAATCTAAATAATAGAGAAAAAATGTATATTAAGCCTTACCTTATATAATAAGCATTATAAAAAGTATTTTTTTATATTTTATTATATAAAAACATAGACATTGCAATTTAGAACACTAAAAAGAATAATAAAAATAGCTAAGAGCAGTATAGCGCTAATAGCTGTAAAAAATGCATTTAGGTTTTTCCTACTACCTCTAACCTAAACGTACAAGCAGCTCTAGGAGTTGTAGTGTATACTATAAGTTACTCTCTCTATTATATAATAAGCTAACAATTTTAGATCTAGTAGAAACAGGTTCTCTCTACACTTTATAATAATGTTAAATACTATAGCAGCACTTTTTATGCCTTTTAATTAAATACTTACTACTTATTATACATTAATATAGTGTTAATTTAGACTTAACGTACTTTATAGGCGAGTTGCTTACACACCCAAGTTGCTTACTTTTGCCAAGACCCCACCCTAACAAACTCTATTATGGCCCATAACAACCCGCTCTAGCACTATATAGTATAGTACAGCCTAGAATATTATTTAGATACTACTTTTACTTCTTACTTACACGTTTGCGCGTTATGCCTAGTCTAATTACACTGTCTGCAGCGCCTTTAGAATAGCTTACCTACTTTAGCTTACACCTGCTTCTTTGCCTTTTTTCTATTACTACGCGCTTTAAACTTCTTTAGAGCTGTTAAGTGTAAGCCTTTCTAAATTATTAAAGTCTTTTTTACCTTAATCTGCTTTTTTTTATGTAATTTATGTTATATAGCAGCCTTATTAGTAACTTAAAGCTTAGTAATTTTCTATTACACTAACACTAGCTTATGCGTAATTATTACTGCCCTCTTTAAAACTTTTTTAAACACTTTAACTATAAAAGTTAGTAAACTATTTATATAATGTACTTTATAGGCGAGTTGCTCACACACCTGAGTTGCTTACTTTTGCCAAGACCCCACCCTAACAAACTCTATTATAGCCTATAACAACCTGCTCTGGCACTATATAGTACAGTACAGCCTAGAATATTATTTAGATACTACTTCTACTTCTTACTTACATATTTGCGTGTTATACCTAGCCTAATTGCACTGTCTGCAGCGTCTTTAGAATAGCTTACCTACTTTAGCTTACACCTGCTTCTTTGCCTTCTTCCTGTTACTACGCGCTCTAAACTCCTTTAAAGCTGTTAAGTGTAGGCTTTTTTAAATTATTAAAGTCTTTTTTACCTTAATCTACTTTTTTTTATGTAATTTATGTTATGTAGCAGCCTTATTAGCTACTTAAAGCTTAGTAATTTTCTATTATACTAATACTAGCTTATACATAATTATTACTGCTCTTTTTAAAACCTTTTTAAACACTTTAACTATAAAAGTTAGTAAACTATTTATATGCTTTTAAATTTTTATTTTTATAAGTGTCTGTACGCAGCAGCAGCGTCACGGCCTGGATACGAGCGATCGCGCACGGGCAGGATCACGTATCTATGTCACATAATGCTCGTGCGCGAACCTCTGTGCGCGAACATCTAGATATCCCCCTTTTTCTCTATACAGAGGAAAGATAAGAGTAATAGAACTAAAAACATATTACTTTTACCTTACTTACTTTATACACTGTGCATACTATACACTACTCTTACTTTTACTACTTAAGTGCTTATACTATAAGCAGCTAGCTATTAAAGCTTATTTAACACTAATTAGTAGTTAATTTAATTAACTATAAATTAGTAAAAGTAATAATAAAGTACTTATACTTTATAAAGTACTTTATTTTATTACTTATTTTTTAAAAAAAGTAATAATAAAGCACTTACACTTTATAAAGTACTTTATTTAGTTACTTATTTTTTAGAATAGTAAATTAATTTTTTACATTATATAGTAAGCTTTACTACTATATAAAGTAAAAAAAAAGATAGTATAAAATGCACACTAAAGCTACTAAAGCTATATAACCTAGTAGCTAAATAATAGTAGATTAATCTTTTATATTATACAGCAAGCTCTGCTACTATATAAAGTAAAAAGAAGATAGTGTAAAGCGCACACTAAAGCTATTAAAGCTGCACAACCTAGCAGCTAGATAACAGTAGTACTTATGTAATTTACTAAAAAAGTAATTAACTATACTATTATAATAAAATCTTACTAGCAACTAATAACTTTATATAATAATAAAAAAAATAAAAAATAATTTTTATTATATAAATAACTTATAAAAAAATATAAAAATATTAAAAGTAACACTATAAAATAAAACTAGCCTAAAGTACTAAAATAATAAAATTAATATATTAAAAGCTTTAATAAGCTTATAAACTTAATTATATAAAAGTTATATAATTACTAATTTATATATAATAACTTAAAAAAGTGCTACTTTTTTAAGTTTATATATAAAAAATTTTAAAAAATAGATACTATAAAACTTCTTAGCACTTAGCTGCGCGTTTAAAAAGAAGCTTATATAAGTACTAAAAAATAAAAAAATTACACTTAAAAGGCTTTATATATAACCTTTATTACTATATAAGGCTCTACATAGAAGTAGACTAAATATAATACTGCTATTAATACTAAATATACTAGTATTACTTACTTCTACACCTTAGCTAGCACTACACTAATTACTATATAAATAATACATGCTACTCTACCTAACGCCTGCTCTACACCCTTAATTGTACACACTACTGCCTACAGTAGTGTATGCACTACTAATACTACCTATACAATCTATACTACATTGCAACTTATATAAACTTCTACTTTAAAAAGAAACTACAAAAAAAAAACTTTTAGTAAATAAAATTATATAATTTTAAAAAGTATAAAAAATAATAATAACTATATAAGTTAACTATAACGTACCTAACAGGTTAGCTAGCCACACAGGTTAGCTAGCTACTTTTGCTAAGCCCCTACTAAAACCACCCTATTCTAGCGCAAAACTGCCTACTTTAGCCCTATATAAAGCAATACAACATAAGATATTATTTAGAGTCTACTTTTACTACTTTTTTACATGTATGTAAGTTATGCCTAGTCTAATTACACTCTCTATATTGCCTTTAACTTAGCTTACCTCTTTTAGCGCGCACTTGCGTCTTTAGCTTCTTTCTATTACTACGCGCTCTAAACTTCTTTAAAGTAGTTAGACAAGCTCTATCCTTAACTATTAAGGTCTTTTTTACCTAAATCTGCTTTCTTTTATGCAATCTATGTTATGTAGTAGCCTTATTTACTGCTTAAAGCTTTATAATCTCTTTTTACACTAACACTAGCTTATGCGTAATAATTAATGCCCTCTTTAAGACTTTCTTAAAGGCCTTTACTATAGACATTAGTAAGCTATTTATATGCCTCTAAATTCTTACTTTTATAAGCATTAATTATAACCTAAATTTAAAAGTATTGCTTAGGGTTTACAACTACTAGGGCTTATTATTAATAAGTAGTAGTAGTAATAGAGTACGCAACTAGATGTTAAGAGCTATTTTAACCTATTCTAGGTTAAATAAGACTAAACTAGCGCCTTAAAACCTTTCTTAGATATTACTAAAAGTAATTACTGCATTATAAGCGTGTATAAAGCATAGTAGAAACTTAAGTTTTATAATATAAGTAATCTAGTTACACATAAAATCTTTAGCTTAGTGCTTATACACCTTCTTTAAAGAGGCAAAATAACTTACATTAAAAGGCTATAAAAGGTGTAATAAGTGTAAAGGCATGTAAATAGTAATAATCTTATTTTTTTATAGTACTACTAGAAATTAAGCAAGTTATAGCTTTTATAGCTGTTAATAATAAAAAGCTAATAAGCACTTATAACTTTTTTTTATATGCTTATTAAAGTGCTTTAACTACTACAGCCTAAGCTTATTTATTATCT